ACAACGTGTCAAGGTTCATGTGTGTTTTTCGCTGTAATTCTAGCATGAATTAACTTTGATTATACTTGTTCCAGCAGGAGTGAGTGCACTGTGGGAGTTCTGTCAGGTGTCACTACTAACTTTACCACAGCACAGCGGGGTGCATGTGTGCACGTTTCAAGGGATTACTGAGGAGCAGATGGTGTTTTTGCCTGTCAAAATGGTGGATGAGACAACAGCAATTAAATCTGCAGATTATTTAATAATATATGGAAGGCAGAGTTAGGACAGAGTGGTTAACGGTGCAAACAGAATATGATCACCTTAGTTCTGATTTTTCCCTCGGTTTTGAATGTAACTTAAAACATGAACATAGATCTCTGTTGTGTTTAGCAGTCATGTTTTTTTCTTTCTGATCAACACAGGGAAATAACTGCAATTTTCCAAACATCACGCAGTTGTGATTTGATTTGCAGTATCGTCTGTTACAAGTCAAGCCTTAGTTCAATAATCCAATTTTTAACAGATTTAAAATGTGAAGAATGATCATTGCAAAACGGTAATTGGTCTTTATTATAATGCTAGAATACTCAATTAAAAGTATCCTTGGGGACAGTGAGTTGCATGAGTGAAGCCACGCAAAACCAAAAAAAAAAACTGAAGAAGCATAAATTAATGTAATTAATTTAATATTAATCAATTTAATCAGGTATACGTTTTTAACGCTTGTTAACACAGATCAGCCAGGTATTTTTTAGTTTTAGGGTTATACTTACAATTAAGCACTTAGTTCCAATGACAACCTGCGCATGAGGTTTGGGAATACATTATACATGAACTTTGTTACAGATACATCAAGAAACATGTAGGTTTTATTTAATATATGAATGCAAGAAAGTGCAACAAACATTTTATAAGATCCTTTTCAGCACAGGGAATTCAAGATTATTAATATTTATTTATTTATGGGCATTTGAAACATGACAGTTTTGTCACATAAGCTTGGTCCACTAGAGGAAAAAGACTGTCTGAGCCAGAGAATGGTTAAAGTAGCCTTTTAAATGGGTGACAGAATTTTTATGGGCTGTCCCCACAGGAATAAATCTTATAAAACTATCAAACAAATCCCAAAACAAGCTGCTGTTTACAAAACTGTCAACAGCCCAAGTGTCTTTTTTTTTATATATTAAATGCATTTAGCAGACTTGGGTTCATATTTACAGGATATTTACAGTATATCTTTTATTATGGCATGGAATAGGAAAGAGTCGCATATTTGCTGCACAGAGTACAGGAGATCAATAAAAAAAATAAACATGGTATTGATTCTTTTGCTTCCAAACTAATAAAAAGTGGACTTTCAGACATGTCATGGCTTCTAAAAATACAATGAGCAAACCTTCAAAGACTGCTTAACATAAATCGAGCAGTGTTAGATGAGGCAGAGTCACAACTAAACACAGCCTTATGGCCTGTGGTCTACATGTTACTGTCAGTAGGGGGAAGTGTCCCAGTCAACTGGTCTGTGGGGAACTCTTGCTTGCACTGTTGGTCCCATAGCCAGCTATGGTGGTGTGTTAATGTAACACACAGAGCTGAACTTCAGCAATTAAAAACAATGAAATGTCCACTCTAGCTGTAATCTGATGATTTTCATGTTAATTTTTTATCTTTAATGATTTTTAATAATGTGGCCCACTCGTATATTGTTTGCAAACTTAGCAAAAGAAACAATGATTCTGATTCAGCCAGTCAGTATTTAATCTGTGCATTATCCACATCAAGCTATGTGCTGTTGGTTCTTTGAAGTATTGCACCCTGGTACGTTTGTGTAGGTTGCAGATGCCTCTGAGTAAGCAAAAAACCTACGCAAATGGACACAAACACAACACCAGTCATGAAGTTATACTGTCAGTCATACCTGCTTTAGTGGTGCCATTTTCATGTATCTACATGGAAGTCAGATCGCTGAAGAAGGTTGTAGTACTAAATAAAAAACAATCTTCCCTTGGTGGTTGGACTCATCTCAAAGGGGGGATGAGTCAGACTACAGAGATGAGGTCAACAGACTGACTGAGTGGTGTTCAGTTAACAACCTCCAACTGAACACCACGAAAACTAAAGAACTTATCTTGGACTTCAGGAAGGGCAGAGCAGACCCGGCCCCACTTTACATTCACGGGAGCTGTGTGGAGAGGGTACACTCCATGAGGTTTCTGGGCGTGCAGATCTCTGATGACCTCTCCTGGACCGCAAATACCACGGCGGTGGTAAAAAAGGCCCAGCAGCGTTTCCACTTTCTAAGAGTGCTCAGGAGGAACAACCTGGAGGAGAGGCTGCTGGTGACATTTTACAGAGCCACCATAGAGAGCATCCTAACGTACGGCATAACAACATGGTATGCAGAGTGCTCAGCTGCGGACAGGAAAGTACTGCAGAGGGTCATCAACACAGCCCAGAAGATCACTGGCTGCTCTCTGCCCAGCCTGGAGGTCACTGCAAACTCTCGGTACCTCAGCAGAGCTGGCAATATCATCAAGGACCACTCTCACCCCAGCAATCAACTGTTTGAACTATTACGGTCAGGCCGACGGTACAGGTCACATAAAACCAGGACAAACAGATTCAGGGATAGCTTCTTTCCCAGAGCTATCACCGTAGTAAATAAGCACAAAAACAATTGAACCTGCTTGCTATACCATACCGTCACTGCCATTATATTATGCTGCTATTCATACTGTCATTATATTAATGCTGCTATCCTGTATATATCGTACTTACTATTGTTTGAGTACTTGCGATTGTTTTATTGTACTTTTTATATTTTACATTTATATTTATTATTGAATCTTGCACCAAAGGAGTGGCAGTCCAATTTCGTTGTACTCTGTACAATGACAATAAAGGCTATTCTATTCTAGTGGACCTGGGTTAAAGGTTTTCAAGCTAGTGTTTCCTGACTATTGGGCACTTACAGCCATTTCTGATGGACTCCTACGGCTGATTATTAACATCCTGCAAGTGGCTGTAAATGTTAATTTCAACATTTACTCAAAGCTTCACGTCCATTTCCATCTTCCTCTAAATACAACTTTAGGCATATGTTGTATGTGTATATGCATGTGAACTGTAAAACATCAAACAGCACAGTGTAACAAAAACAATAAGAGGATAAATAATGTGTTGCTGCATTGAGTTTGATAAAACATGCACACGGATCCATCATTGTCAAGACTGATACCAAAACTCACAAAACATCATCCACCATGTCACAAATTATTTCCCAGCCCGTCTCTTCACACTTAGCTGAAATTTCCTTCGTTACTCCTGAAAACAATTTCTCTGTCAGGCTTTATTGTATTTGCCACTGAAGCTAACACCACTGACACAAATTTTTCTGCTGAAAAGAAAAAAAAAAAAAAAAAGGTCTCTTTATAAGAAATTGTATCTTCCATTGTTCCATATTAATGCTCAAAAAGGTGAGATTCTCAGCTGCCTTGGTGCCAATTATTTATGAACCTATTTGGCAATTAATAACTCATGCCTGAAGATACTGATTACTGAGAGTACTTTGACATATTTTAATGTTAATTGATGTATTCCGGTGAACACGGGTAGGCATCACTACTCAGTATAAATAAACAAGCAAAAAATGCATCCATGAATAAGGATTTCATTCATTTGTTTGAGGACAAAAACAGAATACACAACAGGTACTACATGGAAAAAAAAAGCCCTCAAAAAACAATTACTTGTTGAATTCTATGCCAGTAACTTGAACACCACTTGTTTTATTAAACTAACTATAATTGCAAATGTGGTAAGAGGTCCATGTGCCAGCCAGAATGACGTTAAAAGCATTTTATCCATCTGGGGGGATGCATTAACCTTAAACTGATATTTAAATGTCACGAAATTACGTGTGTGTGTGTGTGTGTGTGTGTGTGTGTGTGTGTGTGTGTACGACAAGCATATAGACAATGTAATTCAATAGAGGCCTACCCTTTCCAGCTGCATATTACATCAGATTATGCAGTGAGAGATGACTGATTGCTGATGTCTGTGTTTTCATCAATTAGGCCCATTTACCAAACAGTTCCAGTAGCACACAGCCTCAACCGTCTGAGTTTTGCAGCAACATTGTGTGAAGACAAACCTGTTTGGTAAAAATATGCAGTGTGGGAGTATGTGCACAGATGTCTGCATGTTTATGCTTCGAGGTGACTATGTACAGACAGCAACGTAACCTGCTTCTTGCGAGTGAAAAACATTGCTTGTAAAGATAAACACAAATTTAAATATTCCAGCAGGAGAAAGCAAGAAATATGATAAAATAAGAGAATATTTTCTATTTTACAAATGGAGATCTGAAAGACTTACTTTTAGTTGTAGAGCAGTCCAATACCCAGTTTCCTGTAACTGTAAACTAAGTCAGGCCTGATACAGGCCAGAAAACTTTGGACAACCACCAGTCACAAGGGAAAATGAGTACTGGCTGGTAAGTGGTTGATGAAAGTTGGTGTAGTTGCTGAGATTAAAGATCATAGAGACCAGCCAGTGACCCACTGGCAAAAAGTGGAGAAGAGTGGTTGGTGAGTTGTTGCTGATAGTCGCTAGATGAAACTGGTCCCAAAGTGTTGCACTACATTGCACGGAAAACCTCATTGCAGCTACTTGAGTCATGTGTAGATTGTTGTGGTTGCCAGTAGTTTGCATGTAAGATGCCAACTTGTCTGCAAATACTAGCAAAAATACCAAGTGTTAATGAAACCATGAAAACTCTGATGCAAACCAAAAATGGAGCTCAAGTGCCACTACAGTTTGGAGAATAAAAGGTGAATGTTTACAGTAAGGTCAGGCGCTTGTCTCCATGCCAGAGCAAAGGGAAAACATCTCCTTGGTCTGGAGGTGGATTGCCCATCTGGGGGAGATGGTGCCTGGACCTGGAGGTTTAGAGTATGTTTGGGGAGTGTGTGTACAGTGTTCGTTTCTGTTGTCAGTTGTCTATTTTTATGTGTCAGGTTCGGTCACCACCACCACCACCTCTCTGGGAACATCTCAGCTTCATCCAGGTGTGGGGGCCTGTCTCCCCCCACCACATTCCCTGCCAGTGGCTGATGCCCTCACGCGTCGGTGGTTCTCGGTGTCTGGGTGCTCAGGTGTGTACTGGCTCACTCTTGGTGGCTGCTTGGTGGGGCCTGGCGCCCGTGGCTCAGTCGGGCTATTTTGTGTGTGCTAAAACCCAAAAGACACTCTGGCAGTCTGACTGCTAGAGCGTACTCATGTGAGGTAACACAGGTCTGGTTGAGTGGTTTGGACTCCTCTAGTCTGTTTAGAGCCAACTGGACCTCCAGATGGTCATTGTGAACCCTGGAAATTGGCCAAATGCAAAGTCCAAATGCTGAACCTTGTGCTAGGGCCTAGGACAGTTTGTTTACTTTGCTCTGTCCCAAAGGAAAAGAAAGAAAGAAAGAAAGACAACCTGAGGATGTTAATATTAATCGTAATAATCAAAATACAAGACTAAAAGCTAATTTTTTCCCAGAATAACACAGCAGTTGCTGTTGGAAGAGGTTACTGTGACCAAATCCAAGTCACTGTATGTTGTCTCAAACATCTGCAATCAGAGTCATTCCATCTGCTTATCCAAACATCTTATCTCATTAAAGAATGTCATTTAGGATTTTGTCTTTATAGGATAAGGCTCGAGTGCACCAAGGATTGAAATCTTATCTTTTCCAAGGTTAAGATGTCAGATCTTGCCAAAAATCTCTTAAGTTTTGAAAATCCTAAATTACTTCTCTAAAAATAGTACACCATCTACCAGATCACAAACGGCATCCATTAGAAACACACCCATGCTGGGATCTCAAGGTACATGCCCGCAGCAGCTGTAGAAAACAACTGCATAATCAGGGGAAGACTGTGAGACATACATAATCTCCTACTTATGTTTGTGGCAGCGATGTTAGGTTTATTTTTATTTTGGCAACTAGATAGGTTTTGGGGGGGAGAGGGGGTTTGTCATATCTTTAAATGTAAAGTTTTTGCTATATATGGAGGGTAGAACTGATTTCAAACAAACTGCATATCAGTTTGAAAAATTTGTTATATGAGCATGCACGTTTTACAGGAAGAAACCTCCAACAAAACCAACAGAAGAAAGAAAGACAAGAACAAAAAGAAAACAGGGGCAAAAACAACACAAGCACAAAACATAAACTGCAGTAGGGAAGAAACACCCAAAGTTAATGACATGCAATAGTAGCATAGAAATGGATGGGGAATTCCAGTTAAATAGTTACTAGGTTTATTTAGGTATTCAAAATATGGTCAAAAATCTCCTTTTCAAGACATTTTGCAGAGGTTGAAGAAATAGTAAATGTACATACTTGTATCTATTTCTCTTTAAATCAAGCTTGTTATTATGTTGCAGATAACAGAATGAGTGTCTTTTGCCCTGCCATGAGAAACACAGATTAGTAATCTAACATTTAAGGGCACTTTGAATCAATAGATGCCGACAGCCAAGGTATACAATCTGATTTTGTATCATCATTTTCGATTGTAGTCTCTTTCTTTGAATGTATTCTCTCCAAAGGCATGGTTTATGAAATCCATTGTTTAAGATTAGAGGAGGCAGCAGTAATATATAAAATACATTCACACTCATTACATTTGGCCAATATTATTTTATCTTTCTCTGTCCTGTGCTTCCCCCCAGATTATCTGGCATTTTGCTGCAGTGAGCAGATGTACAGTTGTGATGCCAAACTGAAAGGACTGCAGGAGAACATGCTCAAGCAATTTACAAATTGAAATCTATAGTCCATTTAAGGAAAACTGTAAGATTTTCAAACAGCTTCAATTAGGCCAAACAGAAAGAGAGTTGAGATAGTTAAAGTTTCTCATCACACGTGCAAATACAGACAGCTGGGGAGGGGGGTCAGTAGTACATGCAAACCCAGTCCAATCCAAACTGGGTTTTACATTACAGTTTAAGAACACGACAAAGGTGTGGCAACAGCCCCTTTAGGTAAAATCTGGAGAGCCAGAGTGAAATATTCAGGCAGCCGCACTAATCTGGCAAACCTTTCAGAGAGCAGGCATGGACTCGCTGTGGGAGAGAGAGACCCCGCTTCCCCTCTGCAGCTGCAGCCAGCGGTAACACCAGCAACAAAAAGGTATCACAAATGTTCTTCCATGCTTCACTTGCCAGCAGCTCTGTATGGGCAGAATCCATTACTGAATCCAGGGTGTTTAGAAACACAGCAACAAGGCATTATTCATAAACAAAGGCCTGTTGGAAATGTGATTTTTCTTACTATCCATAGATGAAAGTCAAATTTTTCTCACACATAAATTGATTGATTTGCATATAGATTTCTGAAGATTAAATGCATAGATGTGTACGGTTTAATGCATCTTGGGCAGTATTATTTGTGATGTTTGTGGAATTAGCAACTGATCAAATAGACAAAATGAGCTTTACATTGTGTAAGTGAATGTGTGTGCACTCTCTGTTTAACACGTTTAAAGCATTTTTGTACAGTTTAACACTTTTTTGTTTCTGTTTTTGAGCAAAGCTTACAACCAGCCCAGATTTCAAAATGATCAACACTACGATTATTCTTTTTTCTACTGCGATTGTACTGTAGAAATATGTACAGGTAGAAATCGAGGCTACAGTGCTAAAAGTATAATTTCTCATCGCAGCCTTTGCTACCAGCTCTGGCTACTACACAGTCATTGGATAACCAAATGCTCCATTATTCTGGGTGTTTTGCTAACTTTCTGTTAGCATGCTGTCTGTGCAGATGCTTGCAAAGTGGCATTTTGACAATATAATGCAGTTATTTCTGTCCTGGATGCAGTCTGCAGGTCATGCAAGTAACTCTATATTAATTGTGGCTGTAATCTGATTACTGATTACAGTGATGCATTCGATTGATATGTGACTGAAAACTATAATGCCATTATAGTAAAGCTGACACCCAACACTGTTTGCTTTAATCAAAGATACCATTTTGGGTCACTGTGAAGTTATGTATGTATGTA